GCCACCGGCCTAGACGTGTGGCAGGCACTCTCTGCTCTTGAAGCAGCTCGGGCACTTTTACGCCACTGTGTCCTCCCTTGTCCTCCTTCACAAGGAGGCAGAAAGGGCAGAGCTGATCGCCCCCAGTTTGCAGGTGGGGACACAGCCCAGGAGAGGTTCAGGGACTTGCTCGAGCTCACAGTCCCACTCCACTCTGGGAATGGCATCCTGGTGTCCTGATCTAAGCCTCTGGACTCGCACCGCATGTGCTTTTGGCCTCACGACAGAGGGGCCTGTGTTCAGGAAATCCATTCTGAGAAGAGGTGATTTCCTCCCCCTTTGCTGGGACTTCTTGGGTGTCCTGGCTGTGCTCAGACTGGGCTAAAAGACCAGTCTAGATCTCCCTAGGTCATGCGCAGGCCCAGGGGCAGGAAGCTCTGCAGACAGGGACAGGCCACTTTCTCCAGCACCCTCCTGACTTAGAGGACCCTGAGCCTCACCGCCGGGAAGCCTGAGAGGGGTGTAAGCGGTGATGAGTCAACTCTTCACCAGTTTGGGGTCCCCACAGAGGCCTCGGCGACCTGGCAGGGAAAAGGGGCCTGGAGGGACACAGGATGGCCGGGTGACTTGGGGAGGGCCTGGGGCCCCACAGCGAGAGGTTTTAGCCTCCCAGGCTGAAAGCTCTCCTCAGGGCCCTCGTCAGCTGGACCAATGAGAGCTGAGGTTCCTTAGGAGCTTGGCTGTGTATTTTCTCTGTCTCAGATGCCCTCCTCTGATTGTCCCGATCCTTCCGGTCCAGCTCACACTTCTCTTCTGCTACGACGCCTTCCTCAATAGCCCGTCCCTCGCTGCTTCCTCCCTCCCGCTCTGCCTGGCTCTGTGGTGGTGTGGACCCCCTCACTGTCCCCCCGCCCCCCCTTGAAACATAGAGTGGCAGCTGCTTGCTCTTCTGTCCTCAGCCCCCAGCTCCTCTGGGGAATCTTGTCCCCATCCTTCACCACCTCCTGCTTGCAGCAAGTGCCCCGGGGCAGAGGGGATGGTCTGACACACAACGCCACATCCCTGCAGTCCCCATCCGCTAGCGCCCTTGGTCATCGCAATGGCCCCGCAAGGCAGGAAACTGAGGCTGGGGGAGGGCAGCGACGCGGCCGGTCATTAGGTAGCAGAACTGGATTTAATGCAGGGGTTCTGATTTCGGGCATGATGCTCTTTGCCCACACCAATGCTGTCTCTCAAACGTAGAAAAACATGGGAGAAAGTGACAAAATGGACTCTGTGTCTATGGAATGGAATCAAGGTATTTGTTCCCATGCTTGGAGAAGGCACCCAACTTGTTCAGCTCCTTTCCTTCCTTCCTTCTGTCCACATGCATTTTTGCTACAGTGAGCCGTGAAGGGGCCGCAGGGTCGTCCCTGTCCTCTGTGCTCTCGGAAGGAGAAAGGCCGCCTCTCTGAGAAACCACCTGCTCCACCGTGGAGCCACCCTGGGGATGGGAGGGCCCTGGGCACAAGGGCGGGCCAGTTTGGGGACAGGCTGGGGTCTGCAGGTCTGGAAAACGACCAGATGCTGCATCTGCGGCCCCTGGCTGTGGGTCTGTGATTCTGGCCCTCCTGGAGTAGGGTAGGGGACAGTGCCAGGCCCCCCACCCCCAGACGAGGAACAGTTGGTCAGATCTTGGCCACAGGGAAAAGCCACGGGATTTCCCTGACCTTTCTTCCCCGTCTGTCGTCTTCCAGCCTTCTCTTCCTCCTCTGCCCTCTCCTCTCTCCGCGCTCTTACCCTTCACTCCTCTCTCTCCTCCTCTCCTTCCGCCACAGGGCACCCCAGTCCCTTCAGACCCCCAGACCCCCAGGCTGCCTCTTCCGGGCCAGCACTGTCCAGCCCAACGTTCTGTGACGACGGAAATGGTCTAGCCCTGGGCCATCCTGTACAGTAGCTGCTGGCCACGTATGTCTGTTGTTCAACACTTCAGTGTAGCTAGTGCTGCTGAGGAATTGCATTTTTAAACAATTTATTACATTTAATTGTTACGCTTTCCTAGGCCTATGTGTTTAGTGGCTACGGCGCTGGACATCAGAGCTCTAAACGATGCCAAGTGCTGGACTCCCCAGGACGCCCAGGGAGGCACCCCCACCTCCGTCCTGCCCTGACCCCTCCCCCGGGTGCCTTTACACTCAGCTTCCTCAGCTGGCACTTGTGAGAGGCCCTGGAGGCCTGGGTTCTGGGCTTGGGCTGACCTCGGGCACTGGGCCTGCAAGCCTCAGTGGCCTCTCCTGTAAAATAGTGAGGATAATTCCTTGCAAGCCCCAAGGCTCCCTCTCAGCACTAAGTGCCGTGCTCCCTTGGGCGGCAGCCTGCTTTGATCCGGGCTGGGCGAGTCAGCGCGCGCATCTGTGTGCATGCGCAGATGTGTGTGCACATGTGGGGAGGCGGCAGTGGTGAGACCCCAAGGGATCCTGCTTATCGTGCTGGACTAGTAGCCTGGGACTGGGAAGAGGGTTAAAGTGTCTGTCACAGAGGAGAGGGCAGGCTGACTACACTCTTGGCAGCGGTTGCCGGCTCCCTGGCCCCAGCTGCACCAGCGATGCCCCAGACTTCCTCTTTTGCCATAAAAGTATCCCGGAAAGCCTTCCCACAGACTCCCCGAGGGCTTTCTTAGGGAATGTGCGAGTGCGCGTGCGCGTGCACAGGCACGGCGGGGCAGACGCCCCAGCCGGCGTGCGCATGCTCTCAGCCGGCCGCGCTGTGGGCCCTGGCGTGGAGGGATGTCTACGCCAGCTTGGCGGGACCAGGGTCTTCACCTGGACCGCAGCCATGGCTTCAGCAATGCTTCGCCTCTTAGTCCATTTGAACAACGCAGACAGGCGCGTGCATACACACACGTGTGCGCGCGCACACTGCACACACTGCATACACTGTGCCGCGTGTGGAGGGGAGATAAATCAGTCTTTGCTGCTTTGCCCCTGCCCAAGCCTCTGCCGCAGAAGACATGCCCCCACATCTGGAAAGAATGGGGAAATCTCCCAAGGGAGGGCTGTTCTTAGGCTCCTTGAGTGTGATGGAGGCTCCCAGCTGTGGCTGAAGTCGGGGGTCCCTGAGAGGAGCCCTCTGGGGGGCGGAGAGAGAAGCCCACCAGCCAGTGTGCAATGGGACATGGCCAATAGCCTGGCGAGAAGAGGCTGCCTCAGGGATCCCAGGTCACAGAACCCGCCTGGCTGAGAGTTGCATCACAGCGAAACTGCATGCTCGATGCCTTGGGGGAGAGGGCGCTGAGGGCTTGTGTCCCTAATTTTCCATCTTTCAGGTGTGTAGGGTCGCACCCCAGTCCCCCAGCAGCTCTGCCCCTCCCCAGCATTCTTCCGCACTAGGCTGCACACACAAGGAGGGAGTCTCTGGGGTCAGTGGAGAGTGGGGGAGGAGTGAATCAGAGGTCACCAGGCTTTCATCAGCCCTGAGTCAGAGGGGTGGGTGGAAGCAACTGCAGGTAGTCTTGGGGTTCCCCACATGCAAGAGCTTCCTGGGCAAAGAGAGCCCTCCCTGACTGGAAGCTATGGGGCTCAGGCTGCACAGCAGGCCTTTCTCTGACCTCACTGTACACTCCGGGGGAGCAGGGAGGCCACTGCAAGTGAATGATTTATAAGCAGACCAGCCTGGAGGCAGGGGGCTGGACCAGAGAGCCCTCTGGGCCCTTCTCCGCAATTCCACACAGAGAACTTCCCACGCCAGTGTCTCTTGGTTCTGCAGGCCTCCCTTGGTCCATTGAGAGTTTAGGGAGGGGGTGCGCTGTCGGGTGGGTATGGAGGGGGCACTCCACAGAACTCTGTTAGACTTTCTGAACTTGCTCCGGTGTTTGTTGCCTCCCCGGAAGTAGGACAGAGTGTGGAGATGGTTAGAAAGGTCTGCAAGTTGCTCTTTGGTTATGCATGGTCTTGGCAAGAAAGCCGTGGGGTGTGTTCCTCCTTTGCCATAGCTGGCTGCCGGGTTTCCCATAGCACAGCGGATGACAGCCTGAGGTCTGGCCGGTTGGTACCTGCCCTGCATGTCTCGGGGGGCCTCGGTGTAGCTCTTTTTGCTTAAATCTGTGGGCAGGAGGTCCTCTCGATGTAATGTCAGCCCTAGGAGCACAGATCCCTGGGCATCTGCTCCAACCCTTCCCCAGCCCCTGCCTCTACCCCGCTTCTCTCTCCCTGGACAGGGGAGTCGCTATCCAGGGCACGGCCACCCAATGCAGCATATACCTCTCCAAGGTGATCCCCATTTGCCTCTTGGTCCGAATGCGGCCCCCCTTCCCTTCCCTTCCCTTGGCCAGATTCCCCGCAGTGGCGGGTAGCTGCAGACAGCTGCAGGAGCGCAGCTGAGCCCTGGGCGACGGCGAACTCTGAAAGGAGTGTAGAAATCCCCTAGTGAGGCCCACCCTCTGCATTTTACTGATGAAGCAATTCAGGGGCCCGGCACCACAGGACCACGTACATGGCCTGGGGCCTCCTTCTCCTGACTCAGTAGGAGAAAACATATAACAAATAAACTCTTATCTTTTCCAGGAGCTTGGATGTGCAATGGAGCTGGAATTTGGGGCAGGGGGGAATCATCTGGGCAGAAGTCCCTCTTCTCCCAAAGTCTGCGTGGATGCCTCTGGGCACATAGCTGTATGTAATAAGTAAATACCTGCTGACTGACCTGCCTCTGGTGACGCCGCTCTCACCCTAAGGAGGGGCTTATCCTGTGGGGCTTGGTTTGCCCCTGCACTGCTCGCATCCTTTACATTTCCACTCCTGCCTGGCTGCTGGGAAGGACGAGGCCAGATGACCCCTGCCCACCCTGAGGCGCACCGCCCCCCGACTCTCTTGTAGCTTCCTTCAGTGCTGCGCACACCCCGAGCAAATCAGTCTCCACAGTGCAGCCACCCTGACTACCTCTGGAGAAATAAACAAGATAGTATTGTGCCAGGGAGGGGACTTACATCAGAAGTATCTCATAAAGTAAGAGAGCCCGATTTATTTTGGGGTGGGAGTGGGGGAAGGGTGTGGTTCTGATCCGGGCACCACCAGGGGCACTGAGTGCCCTCGCCAGGGAGTCAAGACCAGCAGATCCTGTCCGAGAACTCGAGCACACCGGGGCAAGCGCTGTCAGGATGTGACTCCAGTCTCGGGCGAAAGCCAAATTTTTATATGAGATGCATGGACAGGGGAGAGAGAAAGAGAGAGAGAGAGAGAGAGAGAGAAATGCCCGGGTAATTAAGTTAATAGGTTCCTTAAAGAATGCCCTTGTGAGTGATGTTCAACACATTCAAGTGTTGACAAGAAGGTATTGAACCCGACGCCCACGCAACGGGCAGAAGCAGGCTCTCGGCTCCAACACACCTTCTTTGTCTGAAACTTGTAGTAAAACTCAGTGCCGGGTTGTGAAATCTGTCCCAGGGGATCTGGGAGGCAGGGGTTCCAAGGTCAAGCCCCCTGCTTCTAGGAAGGGTTGGGGTGGGCGAGGGTGGCTGCCCTGAGCTAAGATTGTAAGATTAGGAGAGCAAAAGCTGGTGTTGACTCAAGACTCAGGAGCCTTGAGATGTTCTTATGCCCCTGTGAGCTCGGGGTCTCAGAGGGTGCCCGAGACAATGCGTCATCCTGGCGGGTGGTCAGAACGAACCCAGCCCTTCCCTCTGAGCCCTGGTTGCCTTGGGGAACTTGGGTCTGATACTCCGAACATCTCTTCAATCCTAGGGCATCCTTGTCATGCTGAGTTAGTGGAAGAATCTAGGTGATTACGTGAACATGAATTTTCCCTTTCTCTTAAATCTGTAGCAGGAAGAGTGGCCCCCATTGGTGGGCTGGTGGAAGGGAGCCTTGCTTTGGTCTCTTTCTCTCTCTCAGAAAGTTAAAGAAAGTTTTGGGTTGAAATCACAGGTTATAGGTTGAGCGGACGTTGAGCATTCTTAAAACAAAGGAGAGCCTCCTATTGCCAAGCAGCCTGCCTCGGGGCCCTGGGCAAGAATGGGGCTCTTTGCCTGCTGCCTGCCTTCCTGCCCAGCCTGTCCCCCATTCCTCTCGTCACCAGCCATGGCCTCACCTCATCTTCTCTTTCTGTTACCATAGGCTCAGACTTATCAGGTAGTCAGAGTTTTCAGGTTGGGACCTGAATCTCAGGGACCCTGTCACAGGTATGGTGGCCAGGTTCGTGAAGCGGAAAAGTGGTGCCAAGTTATGTCTTTGTGAAAGAAATGTTCTGTCTTCAACACTTAGGAAAACACTTTGAAATAAAGTAACCTAAGTCTATGGTTGTCTGGTCGCCCCACGGCAGCTCATCTTAGGGGAGCAATTTAACAACGGGGAATCGAGGCCGGCAGCCTGCAGGAAGAGTGGCGCTGCCGCTCACCCGACGTCCTCTCCAGGCTGCGTGTGTGCAGCCGCGTGCACGCGGCTGAGTGGGGAGAGCAGAGTGGGTCGGCATTTCCCCTCGTTTGGAAATGGCACTCAGGGAAGGCCAACAAGTTTGGCTCAGCTCTTTGCTCTTGTTCTGAGAACCAGCCCTTGTTCTGGGGGCTCATTTCTGCCCAGAGAAGCCAGTTTCCACCCCGTGATCCTACTCTTCAGGAGATTCTAGGGTTTGCCCACACTCCTAAGATATTTCTGTTTCTGGGAAAAGGAAACAATGTATCATCTTTCTGCCTGATTTTCCATGCATTAGGACACAGTATTAAAGAAAAGGCCCAGGGTTGAGTAGGGGATACCTGTTAATTTTATGCTCAGGTTTCCCATTCCTCCAATACTCTCTGTCCCCGTTCTCCATCATGGAGACATATTGCTGCTAGTCTCCGTTTTCCTGATTGCCCAATTTCAGTTTTGTGAGAGCAGACTGAGAGGACTCATCGGATGCCCCTTGCCCTGATGCAGGCACGTGGCCAGGTAGACAGCCTGGCAGCGCAGCAAGCACACTCCGACCGGTGCCTGCTTTGGACAAAACCGGGGCTGGAGCCGCAGGGCTGTGGTTCCTGCCCTTAAAGGGGGTTCAGCGTGGGGGCCGCAGAGCTGCCTGCACCTTCTCTATGGTCCCAGAGAACGAACGCCCTGCTCAGGAACTCGGAGGGAGCTGTGAGCACCCTGGAGACATGCAGGTTTCCAGAGAAGTCACCTCCTCAGGTGATTTCCCATCCCACTACCTCTCCCCACCCCCAGCCGTCCCACCTCCTAGCATTAAACCTGGGGGAGCAGCAGATTTTGACAAGGAGTCAAAGATTCAAGGTCATTGGGACAGACTTTAAGCTGGGACATCCTTTTGCATCAAACTCTTTCTGAAAGTATTTTTTTCCTTCCCTTGGAGACACCTAACGAGGCTGACTCCTTAGTCTTGACAAAAGATCTGTACGACGTGGTTCACGTATCTCACATGGACAAATGGTGCGGGGAGAACTTGAGGGCCAGGCCGTCCCTACAGCTGCCAAGCGGCTGACGTTGACCTCCGAGGCGACCACCTGGCTACAGTTCCACCCAGGCCACCACTGCCCGGGGAGGAGGGGAAGGGCAGGAGCCAGGGTCCTGGCCTACAGGCTTCGCAGAGCTGCCAGCCAACAGCCTCAACATTGGCCTTTGGACCAGACTTCCCCGCCCCTGCGTGGGAGGTGTGAGGGGCTGGAGCTGGGCGGCAGGAAGTGAGCCCAGATGGGCTGCTGGGACAGCTGTGCAGGGAACAGAGCACATCTGTCCCAGCGAGTCTGGTGGGGCCTCTCCCCACAACCTCTACGCCCAGCCTACCCCTTCCCTGATGAGGTGTGGACTGGGTTTGGGTCCCAAACAGGGAAAATGATGGAAAAGGAAAGTCTGAAGATAGAGGCTGGAGCTCGGGGTTGCTGAGGGGGTATGTTAGTGTGAAGAAAAGAGTGTCGCTGAGCTGTGGAGGCGAGGACGGACAAAGGGCAACATGAAAAGCGGAAGCAAGCGGATCACACTGCATCTGCCCAGGATGGGCTCTGGCTTTTCGTGTCCCCATAGCTGGGTCTTCGCAGAGTAGATACTCTCGAAGGTTCTTGAACGAGTGAATGATTCTGTGGCCTAAATCAGCCCAAGCTTTTCTATTTAATCCCTTCATTTTCTCTAACCGGCTTTAAATATTGCTGGGAAAGTTTATCCCAAGAAGAGAAATATTTGGGAGATTAGACGGTGGATGGACTTCTCATGAGGAATTTGCCTGCTTCCCCCCTTAGCTCTTTTCTAGGGAGTGGAGCAGAGAGGAAAGGCTCATTGTTCTAGGAGCTGTACGCACCGACCTGGCATCGTGACCTGCACATGCAGCTGGGCTGTTGCCATCTGGCATCAAGCCAGAGAGGCAGGACTTGCAGATCACGTGGACCTGTGGAGGTAGGGAGGGCCGACAGTCGCCCCACCTCTACTCCCCCCCACACCACCGTCACCCGCTGTCTGGCTTTGACTTTATGGTGAAAGGAGAGCGGACTTTGAGTCCCCACTCTGCCATGCAGCCGTGGGCGAGTCACTTCTCTCTGGGCCTGTTTCCTTATTCGCGCCTTGGGAAAGCTGGCCGAGGCGACCTCTGAGACCTCTCCCAGCTTCAGTGTCCTAAACCTGGTAGGACGATGAGCCGGGAATGGGGCCCTTGATGGTTTCACTGTCCCCTGAGCACCCGGGCTGGGAACTCTCCCTTAACCTCGGTCAGCGAAGGCCCCTCCCCCACACAGACTCCTTTGCTCGCTCGCCCCCTCGCTGCCATGGTGGCCTTCCTGGACCAGCTGGTAGAGTCCTGCTTGGAGTCTGAAGGTCTGCGTGACTGATTCTTAAGTTTCTCAAGCTTCGACTCCTGTTTCCTATTATCTGGTGAGCATACCAGAAGTGCCCGTGGCGAGGAAGGAAGGCTTCAAGTCCCAAGGGCTTGAGGCCAAAAGAGGCCACATATATTTACCACTAACATGATTTTAGTCATTGCCATCATCACCACCGTCACTCATTCTTAATATTGTTAGACATTTGTTGTTCGTCATTTGGCCGCATGCAAAGGAATGAACACATAAGCAAGAAAATCCGATCACAAAGAGCCTGCACGGTACTTGGTCCATCTCAGGTCAAGCCTGGCTAATCCCACCCTCCCCTAGGGGTGGAGTCTGACCCTTGGGGGCCAAGGGGCCAGTGGCCTCGGGTTCCTCTGTGAGGGAGCGCTCTCCTCTCCTCTTCAGGGGAGAGGCGCTAGACTCCCAGGCCCTTCTGCCGCTGTACGTCTGTAACGCACTCAGGTTTGCAGCCCCGACAACGCCTTGAACAAGGGCCACAGCCAAAGGGGCTCCCCCCACGCTTACTGATCATTAGTAGTGATGCCGTGTAATAAATTCATTGGGGAAGTGGCGCGGGAGTGCTCAGAGTGCTACTGAACTGCCACGAGCTGAGAAACATATTAGTAATTCCTTGTCGGGGGCATTTTTCCCTACTAAGGCCTCACGTCCTCCTCGGTTACAAGACTACAAGACGAGCGTGGGATTGTTTGGGAGGCCAGGTGGCAAAGACGCTGACAGGAGGTGAGCAGCTGGCGCCTCCTTCTGGCCCTGCAGGGCTGGAGCAGGCCGGGGGAGAGCCTGTGCCCGCGCCTTAGCCTGGGGCTCCTGGACCTCCCTGCCCCCGACCCTTCACCTGGACGCCCTGCTCAGGGGAGCCCAAGGAAAGCAAGGGGGGCTGCTATGCAACCCATTTAACTCCTTGTCAAAACCGGTGACTAAATCCAACCTCCCCGGCCAGATTGGCCCCACAGCTTTGCTGTTAGCCGCGTGAGGCCTGGGCCAGCCTGTGGCTGCTTCTCGCCCCCTCTGCTGGAGGGATCTCTCAGCGTCTCTGAGGGCCTCACCTGCCAGCCTCACCAGCCGACCTCGACCACGCCCCACCGCCGCTCCTCGCCACTTAGACCTTTTCCATGTATCTCCAGTCCCACCTTTACGTCCCTTCCTGTCCTCCGAAAAGAGGCCCTTTGTTTTGCATCCAGCGCTACATGGAGCTGTGGCCTGCTGCCCTTGGACAGCGGCCAGGCAGGGGTCGTGGCTCGCCGAGGCTGGGACCGTTGCATTCAGAGCCCGGGGGCCTCTCACCACTTCCCAGGGGACAGGGCCTCAGGGAACCTCTGGCCTCACCCAGTCTCCTGGTCCTGCAGGTCGAGGCTGCCCGGGCAG